CACGCTTTAAGCTATGATACAATTTGTTNAACGTTAGAAAATAAGATAAACATCTCACCATTCCCCCATACACACGGTTTAGATTTGGCTGATTACAGAATGATGTAGAATCGGAATCGATTGACATTCTCGTTGGTTCTGATTATTATTGGGATTTCATCACAGGTGATGTTAATAGAGGAGACAGTGGTCCAGTAGCCATAAGTAGCAAGATCGGATGGATTCTCTCAGGAAAACTGAACAATCAAGGCCCAGATAAGACATTCATTAGCTTCACTAATTATTGACAGTCACAATCATAACAGTTTAACTGATAACACTTCAGAATTAGTGGATACTTTATCAAAATTCTGGGATACAGAGTCGCTCGGAATCAAAGATATTACTGATGATTTGGTTGAGACCAATTCATTTACAGACCACATCAATTTTAACAAAGCCTCCAAAGATACGAGATTTCATTACCATGGAAAGATACCTGTTCGTCTTTTAACACAAGCAACCAACTTAAACAATTGTATTTCAAGATTACACCAACTGAAATCACGACTGAAACAAGATATTTCGCTATTCAACGAGTATGATAAAATTATAAAAGATCAGCTCGACACAGGCATCATCGAAGCGGTCAATGATGACATACATCTATCGACAGGCGCACACTTTCTACCACACCACAGTGTCGTGCGACAAGACAAAGAAACAACAAAACTACGTATAGTATATAACGGTTCATCAAAGACGGAGAATGGATTCTCACTGAACGATTGTCTACAAAGTGGTCCTAATCTTAATCCTCACATTTTCAACTTACTCGTCAACTTTCGAAAACAACCAGTTGGAATCACATCTGATATAGAGAAGGCATTTCATCAAATATCGATTGAACCTGAGGATCGGAAAAGACTTAGATTTCTATTGTTTGACGACATAAAGAAGCAAGATCCAGACATCATCCAGTATCAATTCTGCGGACTGTTTGGTCTTACGTCAAGTCCAGCCATCTTAAACAGTACAATACAGAAAGAAACATTTAACCAATTACAAAGATGGTGAACACGAAATCATTGAACGCTTATCTCAATCTCTATATGTAGATGATTTCGTGGGAGGATCGAACAACACTCTCGATGGTTTACAACTCTACGAAAAATCCAAATCAATACTCCAAGATGGAGAATTCAACTTAAGAAAATGGCATACAAATGATTCAGCACTATACAGAAGAAAATCAACGACCTAGAATCAGAATCCAGCCAAACCGAGGTAAAAATTCTTGGATTAATATGGAATACGCAACAAGATGAATTATGTGTAACCAAAACAGATTGGGATACAGTACTTGATCATAAACTCCAACAATGGTGGAACAACTTTTTCAGGAACTTAATATATTGTCTGATGTTCGAATACCTAGATGTTGTTATACAACCAACAGACAACCAGTTAACCAACAGCTAGTTGCTAACAGAGATTCTTCAGAGACAGCATATGCAGCGGTAGTGTACATGAGAACCGAATACAACGATGGTAGTTTAGACAAGTAGTGTATGAGCTTATATATTGGTCGCACGGGGATTCCCCATTCCATTTCATGGGGAAAATGCGACCAATCTATAAGCTCCCAAAAAGACCTAAACTACCTACATTACATAAATTCTTACACCAAAAGACCTAAACTCCCTACATTCCA